ATCCCCACAGCAGTGAAAGATGACTCATTTGAATCGGTGGGCTCGTGTCCCTGCTCAAAACCTTTAAGTGAGGCAATGTGATGTATAACTGGTATCTCAGAACAGAGCATCAGGACTGTCTCACAATGTACGTTAGTCAGGAGCGACAGCACAGGCACGACGCACATAGATACATGGTCTCTTGAAGCGAGACTAAACTATTCAAATTATACCCAGACTGCACTCAAAACACAATCACAAGAAATACATTAATCTCAACTTAGTAATAATAAAAAACAGCAGAAAGGAAGTCCAAGCTTCAAAAACAGTCAGTCCTTAATTTTTTAGTGAAATCAAGCAAAGTATTTGCAAGACAAACAGCTGGATAGTCTGCAGACAACCCACTCTGACTGGACCCTAACAGTTCCTGTGTTAGGCCACTCAGTAAATCAGACAAAATGTCAGAAAAAATACTGGATTTGCTAGATAGTTTTGACAGTCACACATTAAAATCAGCCATACTAGCAAAATACTTTAGTATTGACGTGAAGAAGCTCGGTTGTTCATGACTCCAGAGTGGAAGGCTTGATACTTCACTCATTAAATAGTTCATAGTACTGCTCAAAAGAGATCGTGTTGGTAATCCTGATGTTCGGTCCAAATTACAGCATGTTAAATTGCATTCTGCTTATCTAAATTCCCTCCTCCGGTATCTACGTTCAATTTTTCTACTTGGCTAGCATTGAAAATGTTAGGTGCTGTTCCACACCAGAGGTTCCTGCCTGTCTGTCTGAAGGGAATCATTAGCATACATCCCTTGTTCTTATTCAAAGGTTTTGGGATTTTGCTTTTACTTGTTTAAATAATCACACTACTGCTTGCTGTGGAAGACAATACAGAAATGCAGTTGCAGTAGAGAGATGATGGCAGCAAAAATCTTTCCAGATTGTGAGATTAACTGATAAAATTAGTGTAAATATTTGAAAGTTAAAAATACAGACTTTTTTTACACTGCAAAGGTGTGGTTTTTTTTTTCATCTATTAAAAATGCTATCTTACTCAAAACACTTTGATCAGTGCCAAGATTAACAGGAAATCTTAATTTTTTTCACAGTCCCATGAATTTCAAAGCCATTCTTCAATAGTCAGCATAGGTGTCAGAAGTTACGAATACATGTTGAAGAGGAGGCATTTGTTGTGAACCTACCGAGCGCTACTGTTTATTTCCAAAATGAAATGACACACCCAAGTTATGCTGTCCTTGGGGTGAATCTGAGGTTCCAAAGAAAAATGCATCTGATGGAGAAATAACTGAGGAATGGGACACATACTCTGCAAGCAGCATTAAGAAAAAAACCAAGAAATTAAATTATCAGGATTTTATTTATGTTACAAATTATCACAGCTACAATTAATATAAAACAGAGAAAGCACTGAGAAAACATGACTTAGATACAAGATTTATCAAGGTGTAAAAGTCTCATCCAAGACCCTACTACTAAAAAACCTGTGACTGCATATTAGAGAAAACATTTCTATGCATCAAACACCAAGTGAAAGAGAATAAGCAGCATAGCATAATTGACAGGGAACAACACACCTTCATGTTATACAAGTTTCTGAAGGAAATGGAAGTTGGAGCATCATTTCTACCCAGGAGTCTTGTTTTGAGTAGGCCTGTTTACAATTAGCTACTAAGTAAAGCTTTAGCATAAAATACCAGTCTTTATTTTAACTTATCCATGTTGTTCATACATTAGACAATCTATTTCCAAAAGTTCTAGTCATGAGACTTCACACACTCTCTTACACTTGCTGCATAAGGCTAACAAGAGTCACTAAAGGAACATGAGGTTGCATTATTGCTTTGTAACAGGAACTTAGATGAAAATTCTTTATTGGGCTCCAAATAAATCATTGTTGCATCACTAAACAATGAGGAGTTTAAATATACAATTATTTTAAAAAGTGTATACTGTTATACACGTTAAGGCTTTACTACAAGAAATACTGAACAGGATTTTCATACTCCGTAGCCTGTCTCACTGCTGTCCAGGCACAAGGATAAGCAGTCCGTAATTAACATGGCAGAAGTTCCTGAAAGAGAGCAAAATATAATTTATGTGTATACATCCTCAGACTAGTGACTATGAATTCTCTGTAGACCGTCAGATTGTAAGTGGTGGGATCAGGCAATTACGCATATACTAAATGTATGTAGATTTACAGAAATCACTGCAGAAACTATTATAATTGAAATTCAGTGCAAATGTGATAAAAAGGTTCAATAAAGGCAAAATAATGATATGACTAATTTTAATTGTTAACATTATTTGTTTGACCAGTAACACAGAAACTGACCAGCATCAGAACACAAAATCCTACAGGAACGGATAAACATTCTGAAGTTTGTTTTTTTCATAGAATCATAGAATCACAGAATGGTTTGGGTTGGAAGGGACCTTAAAGATCATCTAGTTCCAACCCCCCTGCCACGGGCAGGGACACCTTCCACTAGACCAGGTTGCTCAAAGCCACATCCAGCCTGGCCTTGAAGACAGCCAGGGATGGGGCATCCACAGCTTCTCTGGGCATTTTTTTCACAATAAAAAAAGGCTGCCTTCTACACTAACTCTTTTCTATTAAATCTAGGGACCTTTTTAGATTATTTTTCCCTTTGTTCAAAACCTAACTGATTTCTTTGCATAGATTACTCCAAAGGAAAAAAATAAAACCCAAACCAAACTAACCAGAAATGAAGTGGTAGCATAACATAATTCTAGTGTATGTTATTTCAGGAACAACCAAGAGTTTTGTACAGCAAATACATAGTTTCTAATATCTAGTATCAGCTGTTTATGAAAATGAAAACACATTTTTTCCATTCATCCTCCATATAGGAGGTATTAAGGAAAGATGACGTAAAAAAAAAAGTTGGATAAATACTACAGAAGGTTGAATTCACTTCACTTTCACCTACTAGCCATCCCTGCTACTAGATATTTTAGTTACAAACCATCAAGTTTCATCTTACATGGTTAATATAAAATCTCATGCTTGCAAATGAAAACTTATGTAACTCATATATATGATTTAAAAGTGAACAGAAATAGAGATTTGACCAATCCCATTAAAAAAAAAAATTAAAAATATATTTATATACTCAGTTTTGCCATAGCAATTGGTATTGAATCTTTGCCCTTTGAGCCCCAGAAGGCAGAAATCTTCACGGCCTCCTAACCTTAAAAGGGTCCTTTGCTTTACATCTTTAAAAATTTGTTCTAAAGCCATTTTACATGTACAGAAAATTCCATTTAGCCTGTGACCACAGACTCTCGATTTTACTGTGGTATACAGAGGCAGCGTAACATATGTGGTATTTCAAAGTACAGAACTCTAAATCATGTCAACTAACAGCAAGGTCATGAGATCAGCATGAAGAACTATCATCCCAAGTAGGAAATAAAGGAAAAAAGTATGTTCTATGTAAAATATACAGCCCACTCATACTGTTATATTATTTCTTATTTTATATATTGAATGTACTAGAAACTATAGAATTCATTAGTAGAGCTGGCTGTTCTTCAGGCCAAAAATCAGTCTGCTCCTTGAGCAGAAATTCTTGACTTTGAACGCATTTTATAGAATGATTTTCTTGAGCTTTGGAAAACCATTTTAGACATGTTTGCTGACCAGATTAGAGTTTTAAATTCCCATTTGAACACTACTGGCATAAAATTACATTCATTTTTTTTTCCACTTTCCTCTCTCGAATTAAGTGCTTAACTGGTTGAAGTGTTGTCAAAGCTATGTATACCTTTCAATAAACAGAGGACAGCATCCACACACCGGGACAGTTTAATGTCCTGTTTAATGGCAGTTTAAAACTATGTCTTTTCCCAACAGAACTGAACATAGCCAATGATTTTTTTCTGGTCTAGAGCTGAGCACCTGTAAACATTACATAAATTAAGGCCTTGTGTATAAATAATTAGGGCCTGATGAAAACCTCCATTATTTCTCTAATAATTTGACAGATAAAAAAAGCTCCTTACCAAAGCATCAGACGATTAAGGTTTTTGTTCTCTTGGCTGTCCAAGGAGATGGGTTTCCTGTCAAGAGAAAAAAAGACACTTTTACTACATTTCAAAGATTTTAAAATAAAAATAAAGAAAACAGTGTAAATTAAACTATAATTAATAGAAATTTAATGATTGACAAAATGCTTTAGATAACATTTGTAATGTTTAAGTTACTGAATTTATGAAAAAAATAATATATTACAAACTATTTGTTATGAGGTTTTACAGTTTTTTAATAGGGAATAGTTTGTCCAAATTTAACTAGCTAAGCTAAGGCTTTTTAGATTACTAACACAAATTAAACGTTTTAAAATGAGAATTTAGGTGTCCTTAAAGTCTTTCCTACATTCTAAAATGAAACTTTCTAAGTTGTAGCCTCCCTGTTTTTATTGTTTATAGTAAGATAAATTAAGTGAGATTAAAATCTTATTTGATTTATTTACCTTTGGAAATGAAGACCGTTTTAAGGGTTACACATCCTCTGCCTCTGACGAAAGCGACCTCAATTAGTCAAGTCAGAAAGTCTTTAAAAGCTTTGTGTTTATTGCTTCCAGCACGGAGCGAAGTGGTCATTAACGTACCAAAATTCTCATAAAAATTCCAAAGTTGCACTAGTGAAAAAATGCTCAACAAGATGAAAACTAGTCACATCTTCTTCAGAAAATTCATTAGCTATTTTAAACCATTTTTTACAAAAATATTTTGTTTTAATGTGGCACTCAAGCAGATCCATACCATTTGGATACTTTAAAGAGCATTTATATCTACTGTGAGTATATATATACATTTAGGTTTATACCATTTTTTTTTAAAGAAGCTGTGCAATATTTAATAGGAGCCTTTTATGCTGATCACTGTTAAACGTATTTTTCCCTGTTTACTACTATTTATGAAGTTTTATTATAAGATAAAGCATAAAATTAATCTCACACACACTGATTTTCTTTCAAAAGTTTATTTAGTATCAAGCAAGGGTAAAACTTTGCTTAACACTACAGAACATTTCAAGACTTGAGTTACAAAATACCACATTATTTGCATTTGTAATCTGCTTCCCTTTTTACGCATATTTGCAAAGAGAAAAACTATAGCAAATGTGAAAATAAAAGCTAAAAACTAAAGTGTTGAAAACCTTTAAAATAAAAGGTTACGCTTATGTTAAAAGAATGGACTAACATATTTAGTAAACCTATTTTTTTTTAACACTAGTTAATCAAGGTTATTGTTTTGATCACCTATTTTTTCAAATACAGTTTGGAAATAACAAAGTTCTTTGTTTCACATATCTTTCTGTCCAGGTTGTTCTTTCAACAAAATATTTTAAGTTCAGTCCATCCATTCAGATTTTTAAACGCTATGATTTAATAAAAAGGGATTGTTCATAGAAAAAATTACTTTGAACAGTATACAGGACTGGTGGAGATTGGATATTTCACAACATCAGACAGTACAATCAGTATCTGGCATATGGCTGGTCTCTGTAGACTCCTTTTGTTGTCCTTGCAGAAGGTGTCTTGTGTCTTGAGTTGGTCCATTCTTCTTGCCCTGTAAGAAGGGAAAATATCATTAGACACCTTCAGTGTTCTCAGATGTTGTGCTTACTTTTTCCTTATTTAACTGTGAATTAGATAGCGACATGTACTGAAATCAAGGCATACAAAGTGAATTCTAACACTTGAACCAAAAAAATCCGTGTACAACACATCTGCATGAGCCACCCAAGAATGTTTTTCAGCATGTAACGGCAGGGAGTGTGACAGGCTTATGGGAAAAATATTTAGGACTCTACCATTCAGCTGGATCTGCTTGCTGCAAATACACAGAAATGCCAGCTATAGTATCAGACCCACAAATAATTATGGTAGGATGTAATGAATAGAAGATATTAATTATATATAAGCAAATAAACCCTCAGAAAAAAGTTTTTTTGCACAAGTACCAATTTAGGCTTCATTCAAATATGCAATCCAATAGTGAAAGCCTACAGTATCACTGCAAACACCTGTGGTTTCTAATAATCTACGGGCAATATTCACCTTCCCTGTAAACATACACTTCCTTTAAATGCAAGAAATAAAACAGTAATTTATAAAAAGTTTAAAAGGGGAAGGGAAAGTGCTTTTCTGAATTTTGACAACAAAATAAGGTTGCGAAACATTTGTGTTACATTTAATGCTTCATAGTTCCACCACATTTTAGTGGTAAATATTAACAAAAAGTAGCCACGTGTTGTCTCAAATGAGAATCAGACCTACTCTGCTAGGCATTTACAACAAGAGGGAAACCCAGACCAAATGCAGAGTGTAATAACGTGTACATAAGTACTGTTTCAATCAATTAAACAAATCACAGTACTTCCTCTGAGAGGGGGGAAAAACCCCAAAAACTCCAAAAAGCAAACACACTAGAAAACAGTGGATGTGCTTCCAGATCTGGTTCTGGAGAACTGCACTGCCCCAAGCAGACAGGTGTCCAAGTGAACACCATGCAGTCCAGAAATCAAGGCTGGAATCCAAATGACTAGGTATGGTAATCCAAAGTGTAGGCATCACTTTACCTGTCTTTCAAGTCAATTAAAAAAAAAAAGTCAAAGCAGCCCTGTACTTTTTTTGAACAGTAACTTCCACAGACAGTAAATATCTGAAATTGACAAAAAATCCTCTAAGTGAAGGGACCAATTTCACTATTTCTTCATAATAGCCTTATCATAGCTACTTTATTTTTAAAAGTTTAGGTGGTTAACCTGCAGAGCACAGGTTACATATCATACCTATAGTCAGATAATTTACCTAATGGATAAAAGAAACAAGTTCAAATTTGGTGTAAGGCTGAAAGAATTAAGCTTGTATACCTTGAACCTGATCTGGTTTAAGATGCGCCTGCTTACTGCAGGGGGTTGGACTAGATGACCTTTAAAAGCCCCTTCCAACCCAAACCATTCTATGATTTTATGACCTCAGCCAAATTCCACAGGAATCTGACAACAGAAACACACAAGGGGCAACCTCCTGTGTTTCTTCGACACACAGAGAACTAGGCTTATATTAAGCATGGAAAAGAACCCTAACCTAACAATAAAGGCAGCTGGCTGAGGGGTAAAAATTAAGGACTATCACAGCTTTTAAGCACCACTGCAAAAAACTGTTTAAATGTAAAAAGCATTCTTGGTTACAGTTTAAGAGGAATACTTACTCCTTTTCAAGCTTTTGGCTAAAAAGTAGTGTAAGGAGTCACCTTGCTTTTTACCGGTTTTCATTTTGGTGCCATTTAGGCATCCCAATCCTAAGAAACTGTTACTGTCCCTACATCCTCTGGATTGGCACCTGAGCTTTGATGGAGGAAAAGTTCAGGTATTTCCTGGAAAAGAGTGTTTCCTGCTGGTCTGCACTAGGCAACTATCTGCTCACTATTCAGTCGTATGAATTTTAGTCCAAGAAATCTAATGTTCTTTACATACCGTAAGGATGATTATTAGTATCTAACTCTTTGTTTAAGGATGTACTTGAGGGTCAGACAGTTAAGAATTAAAATATATAACTTCATTTATATGCACAAAAACTTAACTGGCTATAACCCATAATCAGTCTTCAAGGTATTTATAGTTTTCCTCTCAACTTGAGTAAACACATCACTTAATATTCTGAGTGGCTGTGCTTTGGTAAATTAAAAAAAAAAAAATTCAATGCAAAAGCAATGAAAAAAATCCATATTTTCAATGTTAAATACGGCAATCCACATTTTTCCCCATCAATCAACTCCATCTACATTAAGTTGTTTCGTAGTCTTAGAAATATCAGGCTTATAGTGGCAAACAGTTTATTTTAATGCTGAAATACAGATTTAAGCTAGGTATCTATCAAGACTAATTGAAAGTGCTGTGGGACAGCAGAATTTTAACTGACCTCTTCTTTCGGTGAACTGACTTTCCCCTTAAGCAAAACAGTTGATTTAAGCAGACGATGTTGAGCATAATTCTGTTTTAGGTGTGTTTATCACAACAACTTAGTAGAGGTCATTTTACTTTTCAGCAGAAAGCACTACAAAATGGAGTTCAAGAAATACATGGTGGAAAATTTTAAGTAGAGGTCTAAAAAAATCACTGAGGCATCTATTACCCAGAAGCACAACTCTTTTACACTAGTTACTAGCAATCCTCCAATGTTTGAGATTTGAGTGATCTAGATTATATTTCTCTGATCTCTAGCCAGAGATTTAACATTTATCCTTTAAGCAAAAGTGCCTTTTAACATGCCCTGTTCTTCTAATCCATAACAGATTTCTTTAATTAAACCTGTCACTATCACACTTTAGCTTAAAAAAAATGTAATCTTCATCACTGGCATATGGTTTTTTTGCTTCATTATGCATTGTTTTGTCTCCATATGAGTAACCCACTGCCCTCATGACTATTAGCCACCTAAAGTACTTTCATAACCTTTACATAATGACTTCCTGCTTGATTTCACAAGACTGATGCATGAAAATGAATACAAAAAGACCATACAAGTCTAAAATACATGCAGTTAGGCCCTGATTCAGCAGCGAACTTCAATATATTCTTAGCTTGTACCAATTTTAATGCCATTTATGCCACACTAGAAGCATTTGCTTTCATCTGCAAACATCTCCTGAAAAGAGGTCCTACAGCCCATTCTTTCCTTACATCTTACTGAATGTGACATGAAAAGGGTACTTTTTTTTTTTTTTAGTTCTTTGATTTTAGTTTCACATGAGTATGTCAGATGACAATCCACAGACACCTCCTTCAGTATTTTTCTCAATGACCACATGAGGAACTCTGTGACAGAGCAGGAATCCCTGAACAGCTGTTACCCACTGCAAGACTGAAGCTTACCTTATGGAAATTCTTTTTTGATTATATTTTTTCAAGAATCTACTACTATAGTTGTTCAGGTCAAAGCTACTCACCGTAAGAGTTGTATGCTTCTTCACTCAGTCCGTGGCCATAGTCATAGTAATCTGCTCCACTGTACGGAAGGAGGAGAGTAGGAAGAAGAAAGAACAAGAAATAAACCAGTTACATTTTAAGAAGTGATGCTTATCATTCCACATTCTACCTTTTAAAAGAAGAAAATCTGAAGGATGTAGACATGCCTTAAGGTGAGAAGGGTAAGCATCCATGTAACATAATGACAGCTTAGGTCCTACTTGTTCATGGATAAGAAGAGAAAATGTACACTTTTTACTTCCATTCAGTATTAACACCCCAGTGTTTAATGCAGATGTGGGAATTTTACGTTTTCTATGTACTTATAGTTGGAAAGGTTGTAGATCTTATGAGTGTCAATGCAAGAAGAGTAGGAAGTATAGGTGCTGAACCTAATTCCTCTGTCTTATAAACTTCTTTTCACTACCTACTGTTGTGTAGTATTTTGTCTTTGCATCTTTAAATTCACGGATAAAAATGCAATAAAGGACAAGCAACTTGATGATCAGAGGGTTATATAGTTTCTATATGCGTAGATTTCAGTGTCCTCAAAACAAGGTAAATGGACACATAGGAAAATGTTATAATTTTAATAGGTTGAAATGAAACAATAACAGGAACTCGAAAGTTAAAATCAGAAGTCTTAAGTCATTAGGATTCAAAAGTATATATGAATACCACAGCCATGGCCTAAACCAGTCTTCCATGTCATAACGGCATTTCTGTTTTGTTTTGTTTCATTAAAACCACGGAAGGGAAACTGAAGGGCAGGCTTTATTACCTACTACTTTTCCATTATGCTTTCATATTTCATCTAAGTATAGCTACGTATTGTCTTTTGCGTAACTGACAGAAGTCTATTAGATTTGTTTGTAGGACATCAAAGGAAAGTCTCTCAATTGATTCTTTCCATTCCTCTCTAATCACAGCCAGACCCAGGGCTGATAATATTCGGAAAAAACTCGATAAACTGATGTTACCAAGTCCTTGCTGTCTGAGTGAGAAGGAAATCACTGCAACATATGATCACTAGCAAGCAATTACTAATATTGACAAAATGTTTCTAACATTATATTGATTCTTACCAAAATAAAAACTAGAAAGCAATGGCAATTTATAGCCTTAACATGAATTAACAGGTAAAGTATTTATAAGTAACACATCACAATCACTTCTAAAATAACACAAGACAAAGATCATCTGTTGTATTTGGGTTGTTTCTGGTTTAGGTTTTTTTATTTTTTTAACTAAAATGTTGTAAACTTCACAAAATAATCCAGACCAGAAATACCACCATCCTGGTGCATGCAAATGCATATCTAAAGCGTGGATGCATATTTGTTATTGCTAGTGTAAGGCTTCCTAAACAAAACTTAACCAGAATGCACTACAAAGACCCACAAAAATGTTATCTATGGTTTGTACATCCATGTGATGAGGACCCCAGAATAACCTGGGCAAAATTTGAAGTACAAGAAATAACATAATTTTGCCCTGTTTGCCAATTTTGCCAATGATAAAAGTCTTTATTCTGACAACCACCTTAAAACTGACATTTACTACCCTTCCACACAGTACTTGATTATTTATTTTAAGGCTGTCATCAAGTTCAGAAGCTATAGCAGCTGAGCCCTATCCCCATATCTGTCAATCCTGTCAGCATGAATTTTGCAGGGTTTCATTTCATAGATCTAAAATATCTATTAAACAAAAAAATGACTCATTTTACAGCATGTAAACTGCAAAACAAATAAACATCATAAAGGAAAAAAATCTTCTACTTATGCTGAAAGTATATAATGACTCATCTTTATTAAGACACACAGCCTTCAAAATTAATAATCTGCCCAAAAACACATTACAACGAGAAGTTGCCTAGTGCAATTCAATACTCTCTACTCTGCTTTCATTTGTGCTCTATGAACAACCCCAATAGTCTCTCAATTCAACTGTAAGTTAAAAAAATTTAAAACTTCAGATAAAACAACATAAAGACGATGACCCAAAGAAAAGCTACATACTAATGGCTGTAAGGAATTCTGGATAAAAAAGATGGTATCAAAAAGGGGGTGGTTTGTTTCACCTGCAACGGTGTAAATAGCCCATGGGGTTCACAACCAAGACCAAAGATAACAGGTTGGGTTTTTTTAGAGGAATTACAGAAAAATCTACTACTATCAAGTTAGTTTACATAATCTTTGTTTTTTCCCTGAATCACCATCTAAAAGAAAACCTAGTCAAAGGAACCTCCAATAGTCAAATTCTTTCTAAACTGTGCATCTGAACTCATTAAGTGAGATAGTTGAGGTCACTTTTGTTGTGATAAATTAAGTAGCTATATTAATTCTTCCGCTGTACAGGAGGTACATGTCAATGTTATTTTAAAGGCATCTTTGACATAAATATTTTTTACATGGGTTCTCTGGCATCTCAGTGTTCTGACTGAAGACTATTCCAAATGTATTTCCTGTTAAAGGTTTTATTCTGCAATGCAACCCCTTTTCTTCCTATTCCTTTCATTTTGTCTCAAAAAGGAGAACAAAACCAGAAACGAGGTTCCTTCTCTTTATCTCATGTGCTTCCCTTCTTTAAGAACAAGGAAAAAACACATGATGGATCCGTTCCTTTTCAACCCAGCAAGACTAAACCTGGTGTCTGCTTTGAGTTCCTCTTTTGAGATGCAAAATGTCTTAAGGCCATTTTCTTCAATTTTCTTAATTTTTCCTTACATCTCCAGGTGTCTCTTCCTAACATCTAACCTCTACATCTTCCTAACCACTAACCATTAAGTAAACAGTAAAAGTGCCATCAACACTGTCATATCAGCTGTGAATCAGATTTTTGTACATACAGAGCCTTGCTTATATCTCCTCATATTTAGTTTCTTTTTTATTTCCATTCCAGCACAACATCTTTGGGCTGACAAGAATGGCAAAGAAAAAAATGCTTTTATTTTCCATGTCAACATAAAAGCTTGGAACCATTTAATAATATGGAAGTTTCAGCAAACAATAAATTTAAGCATGCTGTTTCTAATTGCTGAGAGTTGGATATTGATCTTGCAATGCTTAGAGGAATTGTGAAGTGAGGATAAAGTAGTTTAAATACAGCCAGGGGGCAGTGTCTGTTTTCTCTGTTCAAAAGACAGCCAGAAAATGATAAGAACCACCTCAGACTTCAGCACTGTGCCGTGCTTAGAGAAGCTTTTTTAAATTTAGCAAAACAGAGGGCTTGGAAGTTTCCTGGTATTTTCTAGGACCATGGTGCTGTGAGAAGTGTCTCAAAATACTTTAATTTAGAGGTATTCAACCTAAGCCCTCAAAGGTCTTATGGAATGTGACCTGAATTTCTCAGGATTTTCTGCTAAGCTGATTGTTTCTGAAATTATCTTGATGAACCATAATAGAAGAGTCTTTATGAGAAAACCAAATGTAACTGCTTTTGACATGATGGTTAAGTCCTAAGGAACTGTTACTTTTTGTATTATATTAAATAACAGCTTATTCTCTTCAGAAATCTTGGGATATTCTCTTGGGACAGGTAAACAGAATGGTGGAATTTAAACCTAACCCTCATGAACATCTCAGAATAGGTCATCAGGCTATTTTTGGGACAAACAGAACCAGTATGTCAACCACGTAGTGCAAGCGTTTTGTAGTATTTCCAAAAAACATACAAAGATAGTCAAAATGAACGCGATTGTATTAAATCCAAAGGGCCGTGGCAAACGTCTTAGAATCAGCACTATGCCATTTCTGTGTTTGAAAACCAGCTTTTGCAACCAGTTCAGCTTCTTGTAATGCTTACTACGGAAAAATGGCATAAAGCCCCAACAACTCTGCAATTTATTTTGCTCCTGGGTTTCACAAGTAGCTTTGGGACTGATACATTTAGACAGAAGCCAGGGCAGTTTCAAAAAGCGATCAAAAAAAACTTCCAATCTCAAAGGTTGCCTTTTGTGCCAAGAGTGGCTCCACAAGTATCACCTTTGTCCTACACAGAATTTGCACAGAACAGCAAAGTAGAAAGAACAAATGAGGGTCTCTTTAACAAGAGTTCTTGCATGACAGACCCTGAGTGATACAATCACATCTGAATAGAACCCTTCCCCAAGGACAAGCCTCCTTCCAGCAATCCTACTAGATCTTCACATTCAGCTGCTTCTGCTATCAAAAAGCATTCTTCTTCCTACATATGGTTGACAGGTGTCCCAAATGTTATTGTCAAGACAACAATCACTGTAGTGAAGCTTCTTATAGAATCACAGAATGGTTTGGGTTGGAAGGGACCTTAAAGACCATCTAGTTCCAAGCCCCCTGCCATGGGCAGGGACACCTTCCACTAGACCAGGTTGCTCAAAGCCACATCCAGCCTGGCCTTGAACACTTCCAGCTTCTCTGGGCAACAAACATAATTCCAACTTCCAGCTTCTCTGGGCAACAAACGTAATTCTCTGGGCAACAAACGTAATTCCGTTATTCTCTTGAACACTGGGTCAAGTATCTGTTCCATAGTAATTCTGTGGATCATCAGAACACCACTGCATTCTGTAACCCATTTTACAGCAGGATGGCATAAAACCACGATATGAAGAAGAGACCCACATCTTCTCTTGCATCTTGCAGACAGATCTTTATTTCACACACAGTTCTGCCACTTCTTAGCAGAAGTTATTGTTACATAGTCTCATCCCTGTACCTCAGTTTATGTCTGCAAAATAGACAATGACCTCAGAAAGCAATTGAGACCCATATGTGAAAGCTTTATAAAACACAAATAATGTAATCTTCCTTAAATTATATCCCACTGTACTCTCATATGGATAATTCAAATAGCAACTCTATTTCCTATAACACTACAAGATGACCAGAGTGCCCCCTCAAGGTTTCCCTGAGCTATCACTATTTAGAAATTACTTTATGGCAGAAATTGTAATAAATTTCACATCTGTAGCATAGCAAAATGCCCTCAGAGGCATCTGCATTTGTGTGCTACCTACCAGGCACAGAACTATGCCTGTCTACTATTTCCAGCAGAACT